GGGTCGGGGCCACGGCCTCTCGCCTGCAGTGCAGACCTGCTCCCGAGGGAGGTGCATATCAGAACTGGGCTGTTGTTCTGCAGTTTAGCCTTCATGTGTATACTATTGCCATTAACTCTACTGGGGGAGAAATTCCATCCAAAAATGTTGCCTACAGCTACCGAGCAATGAGTTAGGATTGTCTGTACAGTGTGTTTAGTTTTTATTTTTTAAGAAATCACAGATAGGGCATGTATATGAAATATAAATATATAAATAAAATTTTGTATCAAAGTTTTGTAGTTTATGGCAAAACCTGGTTCTGTGGTAGCTAAGTGCAGTCCCTGTAAAGGAATGTTTGTGGCTCATGTAAATGTGTGAATGCATCAACAATTTGAAGTTTTTTGATATGTTTGTGATATTTACCTGCCTTGAGCACTGCAATCTCTCACCCCCTTGGGAAAATCAGTGGGAATGTTTGTTGTGAAACTTGTCTTCTGTTGCATTTTAAAGTTATTTCCTGTAATTTATTTTCAGTACATGATTAAAATCAGTTGTGTATATATAAAATGAAATTTGTGCTTATTTTTAAAAGATGTTTGAGTATGTATTCTACTACATAAACTATGTCAAATACTTTATTCTGACAATTATATGAACGAATTGTCTATTGTACCTCATAGCTTTCTCTTGAAGCTGATGTTCCTCTCATGCTTGTCTCTGAAAGATGACATCTCTCTAGCTCACATCCCCTCTCTGTACAGGAGAACTTTCTGGTATTCTAAGGCACGCTTCTTGACTTGTGGAGTTGCTCATCAGCTTCTGCCCTCCAACAACTGTATCATTCTGAAATCTTGTTGCTGGCTCTGTTCTCCCTGTTGGTGGATTCGGTATCAGCCAAGGTGGTGTGTGGAGTGTGAAGGCAGCCACGTAACCGCTGCAGTTTCAGCTGGAAATCGCTGTGTGCAATCGCTGGGGTTTTTTTTGCATTCCTAAATGGTAACAATTCCCATCAGCATTTGAGCTTCATCAGTCTGCCCTCTCTTGAGGGAGGGGAATCATCTGTCTAGGACTAAAGCACTTGCACTGTGACTTTTGTACCATGAAGGACTACTAGGGAGTGGTGGTTACCTGCCCTCTGAGACGAGGGCTCGGCTCCAGACGCATGATGCTGAAGATGAGGTAGGAATGTTGCATTTTATGATAACTTCTCTCAAAGTGTACAGATTAAATACTGTTATTTAAGCAATCTAGTGCTTTGGTGATTGATCTCTTATTTGTCAAAGGGCTAGAGTCAGATTGGTTCTTGCACTTTCTTGGGAGGCAGGCGTCAGATTTGAGGCTGGGCCCTGCCCTGCAGTGGTGGTGAGAGCAGACCTGTCCAGGGTGGGGACAGTGAAGCTGGAAGGCTTACCTAGACTCCACGCTTACAGGAGAGGGCTGAAACAGGGTGGGGTAGGGAGTGAGTTCCTCAACACTGTGACAGGAAGTTGCAGAACTAATGTAAAAGAAACCCCAACTTTGTGGGAGGGATCCAAGGTAGGAAGAAGGACGGTCCAAGGTGATTTTGGGGAAAAACAAGGGGTAAATAAATTATTTGGGGGCTAAAAGGGGGTGGTCATGTTGCAACAAGTTGCTGGTGAGACAGACATGGTGGACAAGAATACTCCATTTCTACCCCCTTTTCCTGGCAGAGGGCATTCCCTTCTATGTGCATGTGTCCAGGGAGGTCAAAGTACCAGCAGCTGAGTGGGACCTTGGGTCACAGGGGCTGTGTGTTTGGAGTACCGGGGGTAGAAAGTGAGTGCTGGCATGTGCAGCGAGGTTGATGTGTCGGTGGCCAGCATGCAGGGTCAGGGGCCTGGGAGGGCGCCCCAAAGTCTGCGCTGGATCGGGGTCTGTTTCAGCCCGAGGCAAGCAGAGGGAGCACGAAGTTCAGGGTGTTCGGGGGTCTGGGCTTCAACCGAAACCCGTTTTTACGCGTGTGCCTCCCTCTGCTGGCGGCAACGAGGAACAAGAGGCTGCCCCGCGCAGTCACAGGAGCCTGGCAGTGTCAGGGCCGGTTACTGAAGGCATGTGCAAGGGTGGGCTGGACCAGCAGCTGGCTGTCCCTGTGCCAGCCGCTGGATGAACGGAGCCTCCGTGCCCGGTTACTGAAGGGATCCAAAGCTTGTGTACGTGTTTATCCCCCATAACAGCCCTGCCCTGACCGGCTGGAGCTGGATGGGCTGAGGGTAGTTGTGCTGCTTGTGCCAGTGCTGAACGTTGACCTCTGTGGGCAGTGTGAGCACCTGCCATGGGAATGCCAGCCCAGCCTTGCTGCTGGCTGCATGTGGTGGCATGAAGATGTAGCAGCCTCACCTCTACTTGGCACCCCCTCACGACTGGTATTGTCAGTGAAGTGAGGTTAGTGGGTCTCAGCTTTGGCCTCTGTAAAGAACAGCACAGTTGTGCAGAGCAGTTAAAGGGGAAGAGAGGAACTTTGCTGTAAAGGGGGCAGATGTTACTTGCTTTACCAGGGGACTACTCTGCTACTGACTCAGGAAAGGAGCTCTAAGAGCTACTCCAGTTCTCAGCAAAACTGCTGCTGCACTAGAGCCTTGCTTCCCTTATCCCCCCCAAGCAACCCAAACCAGATTTAACAGAAAAAAAACCCCAGGGTAAAACACAGTATTTAGCCCACAGACAGCAGTTTAGCTCTGGGCAACTCTTGCCTCAAAAAGGATACACCAGAGGGAGGTAGGAAAGCTATGTGGAAGATACTACAGGTGGCAAAGTATGATGAGGTAACTAACAAGATGGAACCAGCTGCATCAGAAAGGGGTAGATAGGGCAAGATAAAAGACTCACTCTCTCAGTTACTTCAGGAAATGCAGATTCAAGTGTGTTCCTCCTCCAACTGAAGAGGCACTTGCCTTCTCACACGCATGCTCCAGGGCCTGGGTTCCTTGGGAGGGGAAATACTCCACAGGAGCAGCCAGTGACGTGATCTCTGGCTCCAGGAGGGCATAAACAACAGGAAACTTCTGTCTTTCTTTAACTTAGTATTCTCAGAGCAGGCCAGGAACAGGCCACAGACTTTTCCTGTAGATGGCTGATCCCTACAGCCGAGTTAAGGTAACACAACAGTACACGGGGTACCACGGCACAGTGATAACAGAAGGGTGGGGCAGAGGAAGCCCTCTGTTTTCTGAACCTAGATATACTGCGTCCAGTGTTATTTTGATTGTGCTAGCCAAGGCTGGCAGCACCTCACCATTCCCTGCCTGTTACTATCTGGGGTTGAAGTAATTGAAGCACAGGTTATGGTAAAACTTTTTATTGAAAAACATGGCTGAGAGTAAAGATATTATTTACACAAGTTCCCAAGTGCAGCTCAACTTGGGAACGTATGACCAGGGACATGATAAAAGGATTTGGGTCCAAAACAGAATTACGGGGGGTACCAAACAGCACAACTCCTTGGTAAACACGGACCTTCAGATAAGATCAGCGACTGAAATGAGAAAAAAGGAGAGCACGTAAGTGTGCACCGAGCGTGTGACGAGCCCCAGCACACCTACTGCTGCTTCCAGGCCCCTGCCCAGAGAGAGCTGTGTCTGGAGCTGGCCTGCACTCACCGTTCATGGGCATCTCGTCGATCTGGGTGGAGTAGTACTGCTCGATGTCCCGCAGGATGCGGATGTCGTCGTTCTTCACGAAGTTGATGGCCACACCCTTCCGGCCGTACCTGCCCGACCGCCCGATTCTGCCCGGGCAGAGAGAGAATGCAGCAGCTGGGGGAGGGGCAGCCAGCCAGCCCCCCTGCCACGGCCCAGCTTACCTGTGTATGTAGAGTTCTCTGTTGTTGGGCAAGTCATAGTTAATGATCAGGGACACCTGAGGCACATCCAGGCCTCTAGCCCAAACGTCTGTTGAAATAAGGACCCGGCTGCAAAGAGGAGGGACAGGTATGATGTGGGAGCTAAGAGCTGGGAAGCCATCGTCTCCAGCACAGGGCACCCCTTGCTCTGTGCTCCCCCCTGCCTACAGCACAGCAGCATCCACACTTCTGATGCAAGGAGAGCAGCCCCGTGCAGCACCACCAAACTTCAGTGAAGACAGCTTTGATCCTTCAGAAAGAACATGATGCTCCTAAGAGCTTAAAATACAGAGCCAAACTATTTTTTCCCTTGACTTATTTTGTACATGTCAACTCCCAACCTCTTCACCAAAACAGAAGACTAATTCTATGTCTAGAAGTCTGAGCATCCCTCCTTGTAAAGAGACAATCTCCCAGGACATCAGAGTTCTTCCTAATTTGAGCTGAACAAGGCCTTCACAGAGGAGAGACACTACAGGCTCCTGGGGCCCACTCCCTTCACACACTAGAGGAAATGCTGCTCTGAGGTAGCAACGCTGCAAGCAGCACTGTTTGAGGCACTTACCTTGCACCAGATCTGAACTCTTTCATGATGGACTCTCTCTCTTTCTGAGGCATGTCCCCGTGCATGGACGAAACGGTGAAGTTGGCTTCCCTCATCTTCTCTGTGAGCCAGTCCACCTGTGCACACAGCCAAGCAGCCTGGGTTAGTCTTGGCTCAGGACAGCCCAATGCTCTGGTGGTGCTTGGAGAATGTTGGCAGAGACACAGGCTGGTAAGGACCTAAAGACACCTTAACAAGCATTCTGGAGCTAAAGGAAGGAAATAATCCTTACAAACCATTGGCTACATGGTACAGAGCTCCACAAGCCCTGGAAGGAAAGGAATCAAGGGTGTTTATGCAAAAAGTGGGGGTCTGTTCCCAGGATTATAAGCAATTAGAAGAATAAGCACATTCTTAACTCATCAGTTCTTCTCTAAAAATGCAATTTCTGACACTGGTATCAACTCTGCCTAGAACCAGCTGTTCAAGCCAGGCACACCCCAAAGACAAACATTTAGTCTCTCTTCTTTCTAAACTACTCCCAAACAGGGAAACCACCAGCCCTGTGAAGTAGGTTTGCCCAAGCATCCCACCCAGTCACACACACACAGTAACATGCCCACCCGACGGCTGCTGTACCTTTCTCTTGGTGTTGCAGAAGATGACAGCCTGGGTGATGGTGAGTGTGTCATAGAGATCACACAAGGTGTCAAACTTCCATTCTTCCCTCTCCACAGCCACGAAAAACTGCTTGATCCCTTCGAGGGTCAGCTCATCACTGCAGGGAAGAGGAACAGCTAGACCTTGCACAGCACAAGTAGGTGAATGCAGTTAGAAGGACTGGGTGTGGTTCAGAGGAGACCTCTGCCCTGTATGCTGTCCAAATTTCTCTAGAAAGTCCTTGGAGAAGTCTGCTCTAAGAAAGGACCTGAATGCAGCCCATGCAACAGAGACTAGAACTGGGGCACCCTCTCTGCTAGACAGCTTCCAAGGGAAACGTCTCCACTCTCACTGTTCTTACATTCAAACTTCTTGAGAAGAGAGACTGGAAGAAAGGTAAATGGGGCAGTGCAGGAGATCGGGCAGGAGGGAGTCTCCTCCTGTCAGGCTCCTTGCACTTAATCCTCTTGAGCCCTGCCGAGTTCCAATGCCTGAAGACCTCTGACACCACCAGACACAAGCTACACCTCCAAGGACTCAGACAGCCAGAGGCTTCTCTGACTTGCTATCAAATAGCAGATTAATGGAGGAGGCCTACAGAAATCCTCTGAGAGGGCTGGGTAGGTGTGAAAGCTGGATTTTCAGATGAGACTGCTATACATAGGGAGGATGAAGCAGGGTGGGGCAGGCAGGCTGAGCAGCAGAACTGGACAAAGATAAAGTCAGGGAGACAAATCAGCCTCTGCTAGAGAACAGGACATGAGCGTGTCTACAAACACCTGCACAAACTGCAATAGTGAGGATCGAGAGAGAGACTCTGAACATTTAAATCAGCTAACACTGTGAACTGCCCAGGGCTGGAGCAACTCAACGAGCTCCCTTTCTTGCCAGAGAAACCCACTCACCGTTTCACCAGGATGCGAATGGGGTCTGTCATGAATTTGTTGGTCATCTCCAGAATTTCATGAGGCAAAGTGGCACTGATCAGAACCACCTGCGTAGCTGGAGGCAAGTATCTGTACACATCATAAATCTGTTCCTTAAAACCTGAAAAACAAACCAAGTGGCACATAACAGTAGGCAAATCTTTCTCCTGAACACTGCTCATTTGCAATTTGATCTGGAAAATTGGATCAGTATTGGGCCCAAGCTATGAAAACATTAATGAGTGAATCAGTAACTCAAAGCCAGCCTCACATACTGCTCAGCTCTTCCTCACTCTCCCAAACCCGCCATAACGTGGCTGTGGTACACAGTGAAGTATGAAAAGCAGTGCTCAAAAATTTCCAACTACTGAAAAGGACAACAGAACTAAGTCAGACAAAGCATATTAGGCAGTTTAATCTGTTACAGCCTACAATTAACTATAACTGTCTAACTCTGGCAAAAGCAATTGTTTTTAGAAGCAAGACTACCAGGTGGGACACTGGAATCTCAAAGAGGTGAGAAGAAAGGAACTAGAAAACAGACAAATAATTTACCTTTGTTGAGCATTTCGTCTGCTTCATCCAAAACCAGCATTTTGATGGCACGGGTCCGTAAGCTTCGACGACGAATCATATCTGCAAGATTTCACTTTGTGAGATGGAAAACCTCTGAAAGCACACGAGCCCACACACTGCTTCCAGCCACTGTTGGGGCATTTCAGTGGAAGAGGGGCAGGCACTTCCTCTGTTGCCAACAGATACTACTTTTTTTTTTGCTTGTGGAGACTAGCTGACTAGCTCTGTGTTCTCCCAGTGACACATGATTTTTTTTTTTGCTTGTGGAGACTAGCTCTGTGTTCTCCCAGTGACATGTGCTTGTGTAGGAAAGTGCTGCCTGTTTTTCAGAGATCCAGAAGATGTGAGCTTGAAGGCTAACACTATCACTGTGCTAACTACCACGAAGAGAAAATACAAAAAGCCTCATGAAATGAAACCAGGAAGTACCAGCTGCAGCTACACCTGGTTTAACAGAGAGCACAGGCTAGTACACAAGGCTAACCTTGACATTCAAGTAGACTCAGCTCCTACCTCCTCCAAGACTCTGAAGTATTTCCTGGGACTAATATTTTCTCCTCAAAAAATACTCTTTGTTCCTACGCTACCATGTAAAAAACCACTTGACAATGACAAGCAAAATATAAACAGAGAAACTCCAAATACTATCTTTTCCAGATAATACTACAGCATGTTGTTACCTTCCTATACTTCACATGACGCCATTTCAAATTCATGCTATCTCAAATCTAAGAGCACAGAAGTAGCAGGAGGTTTCCATGGCCCAGCTCGGGTCTGAAGCTGGAGGTGGTGTAGCCTCCCATGTCTCCTTACCAAACACACGGCCTGGAGTGCCAGCAACAACATGCTGCCCGTAATCCAGCTTTCGAATGTCCTCGCCCACGTTGGTCCCTCCGATGCAGGCGTGACACTGGACATTCATGTAGTCTCCCAGAGCAAGGAGACCCTGTGTTGATACAAAGAAACAGCTCAATTAGCTGAGCTCTGATGAAGCTGGTATTTCTGAAGAGATGCAGGTCTGCACAGCCATACAGTGGGTTTTTTTAAAGAGATGTAAGCACAAGCAGACAGATTTTGCAGTGTCCGTTACTCAAACCTCAACAGCTTTTAAACACTGGGAACTCTTCCCCAGGGATATAACTGCTTTAAAAAGTGCTGTCCTTAAAAATTCAGTTAGAAATATGTAAAACCTCAGGCTGCTAACCAACACGGTCAAGTAAGCAATAATGGTTATAATGCAGAGGAGAAAAGAGCCCTTTATCTGAATCTCTTACTCCTTTCAGGAACCAAAGGAAAAGCAGACGCTGTGCTTTGAACTCTGCTAGGGAACGCCTGAGAACCAGCCCTGGGCTTTGGAAGTGCCTCCCAGCCAGCAATCTGAAAGCTCCTACCTTCTGAATCTGCACAGCCAGCTCCCGCGTTGGTGCCAAGATCAAGGCCTGGGTCTCACGAACCTGGCGAAGAGAGGGACCACATGGCAGCTCACCACAGGGCGGGCACCACAGCACAGCAGGCATCGTGGATTGCACAGGACTTGGAATGCCACCTCTCAAGGACAGATCAGGGCATTCTGTGCTAAAGCCCACTGTTTGCAAGGGTCAGTACACCCAGAAAGCTGCCTTACAGAGGACACACAGTTAACAGACTCTTAACTAAGCTACTTTTAACACGACAGCACTCACGCAGCTCTTCGACAGCTCCTATTCCACCCAATTTCTGAAAGCAAGTATAAAAGTCGTGTACTTCTCCTGCTAAACAGAAACTTTAAATCACTTTGATTTTCTATCTTCATTTCAGAGAAAACCCTTGCATTGTACAAGGATTCCAAGATAACGTTTTAAGCATCACAAATGAAAAATACTTTTTGAGCCCTTCACAGAAACGAAGCAAAAAGCTGCCCTTGTCATTTAGAACATAAAAATAGATGTTGCATGTCCCCAGGCAGCAACACATGAACCACAGGATGGTAGGGGTTGGAAGGGACCTCTGGAGACCTTCTGGCTCTCACCCTGGAAGGCTGCTAAAGACCATTTTTCACTGCTCTGGCTGTCTGGCTTGTTCCCCATTGGATGGGATGGCATGAGCACTGCCATCTTGGACCTTGCTCCGAGTCCTTCAGTTTAAAGCCTGCCTCACCAAGTTTGCCAGCCTGCTGCCACAGATTGCCTTGCCTCTTCAAGACAGAATTATTGCATCCCTTCCTAACAGGTCATAGTTACCAAAGAATGTCACAGGAGCACAGAATTGTTTAGGTTGGAAAAGATCTTAAAGATGAAGTCGAAGCATTAATCAACTCTACCAAGTCCACTCCTAAACCATGTTCCTAAGCACCATATTGACTTCTAAACACATGACTTCTAGACACATCTAGGGATGGCGACTGAACCACCTCCCTGGGCAGCCTGTCACACTGCTTGATAACCCTTTCCGTGAAGGAACTGTTCCTAATATCCAACCTAAACCTCTCCTGGTGCAACTTGAGCTCATTCCCTCTTGTCCCACCACATGTTACTTGTAAGAAGATACACACTTGATTCTGTGCAATATGCATCAACTTTTCAGGTTGCTAATGCTGTTAGGACTGTTTAAAGACAATTCTGCCTGCTGAGAGATTAATTTATCTCTCTAATATGTGAGAGAAGTTGGCTATTAAAGCCAACTTTATAATTAGAAGACTTTACCTGAACTTATTTTGCCAGAGTGGGTTTAGTAGCTGAATTGTTTCTGATGAAATTTCTGTCAGAAAGTTGTCTGAGTGTCACTGCTCATAATTAAAAGACTTCAATATAAAGCTTCATTTATTTACTCTAACAAACTTTATGATGACTACTCTAACAATTTTGTTTAAAAAAAAGTCATTTTTAGCTATGAACTTACCTGTATATCCAGGCACTGCAGCACAGAGATGGAGAACGTTGCAGTCTTCCCTGTTCCTGACTGTGACCTGAGAAGCAGATATTTGGTGAACACTCTGGATGTCTTGACAAACAATACAGGCAACTGCAGTATATTCCACCCCTCTGCTCTCTGCCACTTCTTTGTTGCAAAGAAGTCAATACTGTCAACAGTGAATCTGACAAAGTCTTGTTATGATGACACTGTGATCTGCAGACAAGCAGCTTTGAGAACTGCAATATCAACCATGAAGCACTCTGTTGCGAAGTCCCCAGTTCCAGCATGTTTACTCCTCAAGAGACCAGCATTTTAATTTACTGCAACTTGCTGTACAATTCTTTTTCTCCTTTTAAAGTAAATGGTAGATGAGCCAATACAATTTGGAAGGCTAGCAATTCCCGATGGTGACCTGGAGAGGATCTGAAGAACCTGGTCTAGGGAAGGTGTCCCTGCCTATGGAAGAGGGGTTTGAACTACATCATCTTTAAAGTCCCTTCCAACCCAAACCATTCTGTGATTTTTTTTTTTTGTTGTTAGTGGGATATTTATGCTTCTTTGTCTCTAGAAACATAACAAACTTTCTTCTGCTTATTTTTTCCATTGATTGAGACTGCAGTTGTCTGCACTCCCCTGGCTCTGCTCTAAAACATTCCCAGAGTCTCAGAACCCTGCTGACTGAGGACACCCAATACCTGGGCTGCACGTTTATTGTAATGACATCCCCCAACCTAACAAACTTTGCCATTAACAACCGGCGCGATGCGATTTCCCCAAGCCCAGGCCCGCGGCGGACAGACCGCATCCCCCGCCCAAAGGCGGCAA